CGGAATAGCCACATATAAGTAACAAACATCTTTAAAGTCTTTATTGATGAACTGCGCAGGTTGTTCTCAGTTAGTCTTAAACCTGCGCTGTACTACAATTATGATAACATCAGTTCTAATTTTAGTAAAATCTTGTTATTATGAAAACAAATGCTATTGAATTATTCACTTGTAAATTCCTCTCAACATGGTCAATGTCATAAAATATTGACACTGCAGAATGTAGATTGCATCATGAGACAAATCTTAATTTAAATCTATAGGTCATTTAGAGATGGTGAAACTATTGCTTGAGGCAGGAGCAGACCATGAACACAAGACTGATGAAATGCACACAGCATTAATGGAGGCAGCCATGGATGGACATGTGGAAGTGGCCAAATTATTGCTAGAACACGGCGCCCAGGTAGGCAGCTTTTCATTTCTCTATTTTGAACCTCTGGATTGGTGGTGATCAAGAAATACTCTTTGTTCCACAATCTAAGCCCACAAGCATGCTTATATTTCTATCTACTATATTTGCTTTAATGGTATGGTGCCAGTCATTTTGTTGACAGTGATATTTTCTTTTGTTTATGTGTAATTTCTAGGTAAATATGCCAGCTGATAGCTTTGAGTCACCCTTGACTCTTGCTGCCTGTGGTGGTCATGTAGAACTAGCTGCGTTATTGATAGGACAAGGTGCTAATATTGAGGAGGTCAATGATGAAGGCTATACACCACTGATGGAAGCAGCCAGAGAAGGACATGAAGAAATGGTGGATCTACTACTTGCACAAGGTAAGTTTTCTTCTTGCAGTTGAAATTTGAAAGGGTTGATTGAACACAAATTACCCTATCTTCAATAAACACATCCATTTCCACCCCCACCCCCACAACCACAACCACCCAACCCTCATTCCCAGGTGAATCATATCAATAATAAAAATCAACCAAATTCTTGATCACAATAAACAAACCAAGTGGAAATTGAATTTACTGTTTAAGTTTGGGTTACAAATGGGTTTTGTCTTATTCCTACGAAAACACTGAACAGTTTTAGAATGTGCCACATGACTATGAATGTATTGGTTTTGCTAAAAATCTGTATACTCTGTATAATATACACTTTCACCAAAAAGTTCGTGTGATTAAACATCCGGGCCTGGCATAACTATAAATATTTGTTTTTTATCCAGGTGCCAACATCTATGCGCAAACTGAAGAAACACAGGAAACTGCTCTGACCCTTGCTTGTTGTGGAGGATTCCTAGAGGTTGCTGATTTTCTCCTGCAGGCTGGTGCAGATATTGAGCAAGGTTGTTCTACTCCTTTGATGGAAGCCTCTCAAGAAGGACATTTGGAGCTTGTCAAGTTTCTCTTGAGTAAAGGTGAAGTATGCATATTTGGATTACTGTAGAATACTTTATTTTCGCTTGGAATTTATTTTCGCTATTTTCGCAGAAAAGATGATTCCGTGAAAATAAAATCCAGCGAATATACTTTTTGACTCCCGTGTGCGAAGCACAAAAGGGAGTCTTTGCAGTTACCCTGTCTGTCTGTATGTCTGTATGACTGTCTGACTGTCTGTATGTATGTATGTATGTATGTATGTATGTATGTATGTCACTTTTTTTGTTCCACCGTTATCTCAAGAACCACTAATCAAATTTTCGTGAAACTTGGTACACAGATGCTCTGGGATGATGCGCAGAGTTGATTAGGTTTTAGTAAAAATCTATGAATATTAATTACTTAATTTGCATTATAATTAGCTGATTTTTAGCTGTTCCAAGACTGTTCCACTGATATCTGAAGAACCACTCATTGGATTTTGATGAAACTTGGCACATGGATGCTCTGAACTAGTGCGCAGATTTGATTAGTTTTGGGTAAAAATCTATGAATATTAATTACCTAATTTGAATGATAATTAACTGATTTCAAGCTGTTCCATGACTGTTCCACTGATATTTGAAGAACCACTCATTGGATTTTGATGAAACTAGGCACATGGATGCTCTGAACCAATACGCAGATTTGATTAGTTTTGGGTATAAATCTATGAATATTAATCACCTAATTTGCATGATAATTAACTGATTTTAAGCTGTTCTATGATTGTTCCACTGATTTTTGAAGAACCACTCATTGGATTTCAATGAAACTTGGCACATGGATGCTCTGAACTAATCCGCAGATTTGATTAGTTTTGGGTAAAAATCTGTTAATATTATTAATTACCTAATTTACATAATGATTAATCAATTTTCGGCTTTTCCACTGATATCACAAGTACTAATCATAACATTTCAATAAAACTTGGTACATAGATGTCATATGACACTGCACAGACCTGAGAGTTTTTAGGGTAATATCAGTACATATTAATTACCTAATTTGCATAATTAATTAATTTTCAGCTTTTGACATTTCGAGTAGTAATGATCACGTTTTAATGAAACTTGGAACATAATTACTTGAGGACTGTGCAGAGACCTAATTAGTTTTGAGATAAATAATTGTGCTATTAATTACCTAATTTGCATAATTAGTTAATTTTTTGCTGTTCTATGGTTGTTGCACTGATGTCTAAAAACCACTCATTGGATTTCAATGAAACTTTTAAAGAGTACCCATCACATTTCAATGAACCTAAGACTATACACCATATTAGTTTTTGGTAAATATTTATGCTTCTTAATCACCTAATTAACATAATTAATTCTTATATCTCAAGTATTGATCATCACATTTTAATAAAACTTGGTACATAAATGCTCTAGGACAATAGACAGCCTGATTAATTTTGGGTTAAAATCTGTTCATATTAATTCTCTAATTAGCATAATAATTAATATGTTTTTGGTTCTAATTACATTTCAATGAAACTTGGTACATTGTGCAGACCTTATTAGTTTTACACTTATTTCTGTTCATATTAGTTACCTTATTTGCATAATTAGTTTTCAGCTATTCCATCAATATCTTAAGTATAAGTAATTTTTCATTAATTTTTAATGTGTCTATAATACTCTCAGCACACGGGAGTTCTTTCTAAGCTTTCTTTGATTTACATTGTTTGCGCCAACATTCCTTGGGTGAAGAAGTCAGTTGAATCACAAGGAGTAAGAAAATATTTCATTAAAACAAAATTTACAATATATATACCAATATATATTTTTTTAATCTACCCCCTTCTGTATAATGCTCTATATACATGTATATTACTGGGCATATTGATATCTTCATTGATCTTTACAAAATGAAGTAATTATTGATGAAAGTCATTAATAATTGGAGCATTCCATTCTATAATTAGGTGGCAACGGCTGTTGGCAAGAGAACAATCCATTTTACAGGAGAGGGTAGATAATTATAATTTTTTTTAATAATTTAAAAATATTTGTCCTACTCCTTATAGCTGAATTCACATGTATAGTGGTATTGTTTTTAATTAGCATACTCAGTAAAAACTGAAATGCATTGTGAGCCAAATAATTGAAAATATAAACTATTTGCATTCCATATTTCTATAGATTTGTAGATAAAATGGAAATCTATGACATATTTTGATTTAAACAGACCAGGCTGCAGTACAATATTATGGTTGACATGTCATAGTTCTAGTGTTTTGAAGTATTAGTTATGTATGTACATTAGACAATGAAATTAGCAAAGTGATTATTGTATATTTTCAATTCTAATTACTATCTTCAAAAGTACATGAATATTATGTTAAATATAACAGTATGCTAACTTATGCAGTTTTATTGTATCATGTTTTTGAAGTAAATACTTATTTACAGTTTGGTGAAATAAAATGGGATTATTTCTTTACCAGTTTGCAATTCGTTTGTTCATTTGCATGATTGCATGGTTTGAAAAGTTGTTTATTCACAATTAATTTATGTTTTGAAATGAAAGGAGAGTACTTTTATTTTTGAAGAGTAGCTGCACCATTGCATTAATAGATTATAATACAATTGAAGTTTTGAGCCATCTCGCTGTCTAAATAATTCTCAGAATCAATGTAATAATAATGAATTATTTCACTCATTGAGTCCTCTGATAACGTAGCTAATGCTATTTTGTTGGCAGTTTCATATTCTGATATATCAAGCAGAGAGAAAAAAACAAAAGAAATTTCATCATGTACAAACCTTTTATCTATGGATATGCAAATTAGTGTATACCGTACCAGTGTATCTTTGTTCTGATTTTGACTTCAAAATGATCAATCGAGTACTACTCAGCAAGTACTCTTTCAGATTCCTTTACTTTTTTTCAGATACATGTAATATATAATAATGGGTAACAGTCTCAGCGATTATTGTGAAATTTACACTTCGAACGATTTGACTACCTGAATGTAAAAACGAATAACATTTTGGTGAAAACCCAAAGATAGACATTAAAAAAATAAGCAAAATCACTGTGACTTGCGTTTCTAATGTTTTACCCCGGTACTCTATTTTCTTAAAGGAAAAAATTTGGGGTATCCAATTTAATTTCTCTACAGTATTCATTTGAATCTTCAATAAAGGATTATTTAGCAGTCATGTGACTATGTTAGTGTGAAATGTGAGCTTTTTAGAAAATGTATAGTTTTACGTGGTTTAAAACAATTCCTCGATGAAAATCTCCATTACAAGTCATTGGTTATCACCCTATTTTGGAGTTGGTTATACTGGTAATATAATTTTTCATACAATCATTCAATATAAAAAGTAAAAAGGAAAAATTAATTGTGTTATGTATATTTTCTTTTTCTGGTGTAAATAAATAAATACAAATATATTGTAAAAAATTTGTTTATACCTAATTGGAAATAAAATAAATAAAAATATATAAATATATATAAATGTATAGAAAAAGGAGCATACACATGTATTCGTTCATTCCAAATATGTGGAGGCAGTCAGCTGGAACATTATACCTTGAAAATTCAAGATGGAGCATTTAAAGGGGAACCGATACTAAGTAGGGGCAAGATGGCCACCGCAATTAGTATGCTAATCCGAACCAAACCGCTCACATAGTGGCAGGAGCTCTGGGAATTGTGCCATTTACGATGTTTAGAGATCAAGCTGTGATTCCAAATACATTTTTACGGGGCATGAATATGTACTCTAGCGATTACACTCATCTGGTTGGGCTTTTGATGTATAAATGTTGTTGTTTTCGGTCGAAACGTGCCGCGACAAGTAAAAATCCTGAGTTTAAAATGGCGGCTAATGAATGCAAAATGCCTGTCAATCACAGTTTGAGTAAGCGAGCATAATAAGCATTCATTTAATACTTAGTGGCCAGAGGTGGAGTTAATTACCCATGAGCACGTGGTGCAATCCAAAGGAATTGAGCGGTTCCCCTTTAATACACACATACAGATTGCCCATGAAAATGAATTACTATCACATCAACACCACAGTTTAGTCAGAAAGCCAGACTTAATGCTTTATTTACAAGTTTCAAGCAATATTTGGTTAGCAACAAAAAGACAATCTTAAAATATTTGAATATTGGACAATACTGCAATGGTTTCATGTACTATAATAATACATGTAGTTACGAATAACAAAAAGAAACGAAATTAACAATTCAAATATGTACATAAAATAGTTCCATTTGGCCAATGTGATTCCTTTTCTTAATCCAAGAAAATGTAATCCTCAAGGAAAAATAACTTAAAGGAGTGTCCCTTCACAGATATCAAGTGTGAAGTAAATTTTATATTATCCGTTTTAAGTTCTTTGAACGTAAAATGTTTTCCCTTGTGCATGCAGCTCTTTTTCGTAAACCGCATTATCTTGTGCTATAAGTTGTTTGAGGGCAGCTTTCCTAACCTACAAATAAAACACAAAACATTGATATCTGATATAATATTCACAATTAGACACACTAGTTTGGGCTTTTTTTTTTCATTTTTAAATATATTTTTATCACTTCTTTTACTTGAATTTATTTGCTGGCAGTTTTTTAAAGTAATACAAAA